ATTTTCTTTTTTTCCTTTTTTTATATGTGGGTGTTGGGATTGTAGCAGTCTGAGAAATACACTGTTAACAGTTGCAAACAAACATGTAATGCAAAAGGTGAATTTGGTAAATGCAAGTGAAGTGCTGCCTCTTTGTTTCATGTGTTTATTCATGCGTATAATGAGTTTTGATTACGTCATGGTATCATGAGTTATATGACCTAGTTTATCTGTGCACACAATCAGAAACTGTCCTTTGGACATACTGCAACAATCTTAACTCTTCTTTTTCCTTCCTAGTTGTTAGATTACTTGTGCTATTTATCAGTATTTAATTTTACTGTGACGAATATCTGCTTTCTGAATTACAAACACAGTCAATTTTCCAGATTCTTAGTAAAAGGAGAAAAACATGTTACTGAATTTGGACAGTAGTAATTTGATAGAACTTTTGTATAATATACGAAGTTTACTGTTTTAATGCAATAGGTTATTTTTTTACAGTATGTAACTCTTAATAACTTCTTTATACGCAATGGACTGTAGTAGGATCCTCTTGTAGTCTTCAGGTTCATATTCAGTGAAGCATTATTTTTGTTGACTTAATGTTCTGTTTATGTATAATCTTAAATCTTAGAATTGTTTTGTTTAAACATGTTGTAATACACCTAAGGCTTAAAGTTCCTCCAAAATGTGTTGCATAAAATGTGCCCTTAGATTTTTAGATGGGTGTTTTAACTGAATTTGCTATAGACTGTACTGTTTGATCCAGTTTCCAATACAATATGCTATGTTGTGTCCCAGTGTGCTGGCTCTCTGGGTCTTTAACTTCTTTGTCTGTAACAGATTTATTATTTCTTTTTCTTCTGTCTCAAGCATGTTTCCTGTGCAGTGCTAGAGATGAATGACATTGAAGTTGAGGAAATTCCTAGAGGACCCTGAAAACCATTGTATTACAATTCAAGCCTTGTTGGCATTGTGATTTCTTTTATTTCTTCATGGTCATTATAACCTGTGTAGTCCATTCACAGTTCATCTGAATTTTCCAAACAGCTTTCATCTTTAGCTGATGTGATAGTTACCATGAGAAACAGTGTATGTTCTTTCTGGCTTAGTTATCTTATCAGTGTTGGGTGTTCTTTGGTTTTACATGGTTCCTCTTTCCAGGACCCTTCCTCTTTCTAACTTCACACAGCTCCTTCTGTCTTTCACAAGCAGCTGTATAACTGGTTAGAATATATAGACTCCTTTCTCAAGTTGCCTCTAGATCAGCCTCTTTGATAATCCAAATTGCCAGTATATCAGCACCCTTAGAGAGGGTTAACTGTTCTGGCTCAATTTGGAGGCTGTTAACTGCCTTGTATACATTAGGAGAGTCTGAAGATATCAGCTGTATTAATAAACTGTTTGGAGTTCTGTGAACTATCTGTTCACTGAAGGCGTGCAGTGAAGGTCACAAAGCATTTTTGAGCCCAAATGTGTTGTGACCTTGTGCACTGAACTAAACTGGAATCTTTAATTTTCTATGTTACACAAACCAGAATGTTCCCTTTGAGAAGCCAGCTCTTACCTGCATATCCCTTAGAGTCTTTGTTCCTTTCCCTCACTCTACAAATGGGCTGCAGACTTGAAAATGAAGCTGCTAATACCTAACCACACTATTCTTGGTATCCTTCTATTCCTGTTTAACGTCATGAAAGTTTTGTTTTCAGTCTGAGAACAGATTAGTGGTAGTAGAGTTCCCTCTTTCCATCCCTGTCTTTTCTTCTCCCCGTTCAGCTTACGAAGAGTTGCTTTATGAATCCTGTAGTAACAGGACACCAGCGGGGAGTAATTTTTCTTCCTCTTGCCTTTGCATTGTGTCGCGTAGTGTGCTAATTCTGTAAGTTAAAACAAATTGAATAAATTCAACATTTTACAATACTCTGTGTGCGAATGCTAATGGATAAACTCCCTTTGTTTCAGGGAGATTCTGGAGGTCCCTTGGCCTGCACAGGAAAGGGAGATAGATGGTACCTTGCTGGCATTGTGAGCTGGGGTGAAGGATGTGCCCGACGCAATCGTCCTGGTGTATACACTAAGGTGACAGCACTTTATGACTGGATTCGTCAGAATACAAACTGATGTGCTGTGGAGAAAATGCAGGTCATCTCCATTACAGAAGCTGCTTCCTATGTTATCATGTACGTGAAAATGCTGCTGGCTGTTTTACTGTGAAAGAAAGCACTATCTTAATGCAGAAATAATCATTTGTCATTCCCTAGTGGTAACTGTTTGGATTCAGACCAGCTTCAAATAACTTCAGGTTCCTTGTAGATTCATATGTCTTATTCCCTACGAGCAGAAACAGAGTTCCCTTACAAATTAAATTTGTATCTGGAAAAAGAAAAGTCCAGCCAAACTGTTTTTATCAGATCTTCCCTCCTTCCACCTTTGAGATGTATGTGCATCTCTCTTGCTATCTACCTTTCCATAGGCATACATGGATACTCATGCTCACATCCCATATACACTCACATATATTCCCTTACAGATGTTAAAGGATTCTAAACATGAGTAATACCTTTGTTTTTTTCAAACTATAAATAATATGATCATGTATAGTATACAGATTCTAGATGAATTTGTGTGTTAATTTTGCTTCCACTTCATAGCTGTTCCTTTCTGGGCTGTCCTCTCCTGTGCTTTTCCTAAAAACACCAAATACTTAGCCAGAACAGTTATGATGAAAAAAAAACAAAAAGTAAAAAAAAAAAGAGAAAATAAAAAATGGAAGAGCGTCATTAGGTTGTTGAAATACAGTAAATAGGAGGAAATAAATACTGAATTTTAGTTAATTAAACTAAAGAGAACTGCGTGTAAAAATGCATTGTGAAATATGCTTTTTTTTTTTTTTTAAGTTCCTAATAAAGATCTCATAAGCTATCGGTTCATCAGCAAAACGTCAGGAATTTAGAATACAGTCCCATTCCTATCAATAAAGACTGTTAGTACGTATTTGTGCATGTAACTGATTAAGATAAAACTGTATATTTGCCCTCTTTAGTAATTGTTAATATCAGGGCTATTTATTAATTGCCTTGTTTGATATTAGGCTGTGATGAAATTACCCAAACCTGAATGATTTCCTTTATAAAGGAACTGGCAGTCAGATCTCAATTGTAGTGCACACTGGAGTGTAAGCTGGTTTGTCTCCTACACTTGACTATCTTTTTTTTTTTCCCCACCTCCAAGCAGCTTGAGGGCTCACTTAGCACCCATGCAGAAAGTGGTAGGTGGCAACTGTAGTGGAACTGTGTTGTGTTGTATCAGTCTTCAAACCAGCATGACACTGGTCCCTGGGTCATAGAAGGTCAGTGCCTCAGTGGGTGCCAGAAACTGCACATCCACCTGCCTAAAATGAAAGGCTAGAGCTGCCTGAGGAGAGAAGGTACTACATGAGCAAGACTGGACAAAATGCACAGTGGCATTCCTCTGGGGGCAGCTTGCAAGCAATCTGTTTTAGGACTTCTGTTTTGCTAGGAAGTCTGTCTTGTTGAATCCAGTCTTCTAGTAAAAACAAGCAACATCTTGCAGCTCTGAGACTCTCCTGATTAACCTGGACACTTTCCTCAGTCTTTACTGCTTTCTTACCTTCTCTTTACACTGAGAAAATACTTGTAGAATCTAATGTTTGCTAAGTATAACAAGTGGATTGTCTCATCTCTGGCTTGAACAAGCTCTTTGTATTTTGGCATGCTTGTGGTGGGTTTGTGCTGCTTTCCTTGATGTCCTTGGTCTGCAGTGAACTGAGTTTCAATGTCATGGTTTTTGTTTTGTCTCTCTTCCTGGCCAGAAGAAAGGTTTGTGCCCATATGACCACGCTGCTCTGAAAGAAATGAAAAAGGAATTAAGAGGTTCTTGGTCTCAATGAAAGTGGAGGAGGAAATAACAGCCACACTTCTGTCATAAGATCATTGTTTCAATCTTAGCAGTAAATCTAGCTTTGAAAATGATAATCTGTTGATGAACCTATAAACCAAATTCAGCTGATTTTAAGATTCCAAAGCTGTTTATGATATTTAATAATTCTGGCATTCAATTTAATAAAAAATCTGTCTGCATTTTCTGGAAGGTCTTAGAATCATGCTGCATATTTGGAAGTGTTCAGCTTTTAAAAGAGGTGAAAAAGATGAAGCTGGTAACTTGAATATCAGTCCTTGCAGGTCACACCACGCTTTTTTTTCGAAAGTACGTAAATGTGTGGTTCTTGTTTAGTCACTGATCTTTGGGAAAATGTGAGAGTGAGCTACTACTGAAATTTTCACACAGTGTGCTTCCTGTGCCTAACAGGGATACTGCTGCTTAATCCTTTCTTGCTGTGGTTTTGGGCATTCCCCTCACTGCTACCCCCACAACAATTCTTGTGACAAGCTTCCTACCTAAACAATACTCAAATTATATTCTGTAGGGGTTTTAATAACTATAATGGCATAAGTCATTCACTTCTCTTTCAATAAACACATAATAAAAATGTAGATGTCTATGTTTCCTTCATTTGATTGTGCCTCTGAAATTCTAATCCCCGGATATGGTCAAAACTGCATTTGTACTTTGGAGTTTACATTTTTTGTAAAACTGAGCCAAACCTACCTGCATTACAAAAGCATGTATTTAAGGGCATTTGTTTCTTCTCCGTACTTCTCCTTCTTCTCCTTACTTAGAAACAACAGTTGTCTTCAGCATAAAATAGCTTTCCTGCTGTTCAGTTTGAGATAAGAGCCTAGGCCAGAAGGTTCAGATCAGTTCTTAACTTCCCGTTTTATTTAAGAATTTTGCAGTTCCATGTGTCAGAAGGGTCAGTTGCTTCACTGGCAAAAGGAGAAAAAAAAAAAAAAAAAAAAAGACATAAGTATGAAAGTTAGATCACCCAGACAACAGAAATTCAGGAGTTCATACAGAGTTCTTTCAGAAGAATGAAATAAATGGACTTTGGCATTTACAAGCTGAGATCCATAATCATTAACTCACTTGACTTAGGAAAAAAAGTTGTTGTTTCAGGCAGTTCACCAGGAAGGTACAGTCTTATATATGAGTGGAAATGAAGTGAACCCAGTTTTCAACAGGAATACTTGAGAACCAGCAGGTAAATTCTCTTCTAGTGAAGATCCCAAGTGAATTCCTGTGGATTCAGGAATCAGTACCTGTTTTGATCTTGATGTCTGCTCAGCTTCATCCTCAGTACTCCAGTCTTTTAAAGATTCTCCACAACCAGAAGATGGGTCGTGGGACTTGTGTTTGTTTTTATTTGCTGATTTAAACAGAGCCTTATGCTCAGCTTCACAGAGTGCCTTTGCCTGGATGACTGCACCGTGACATCAGCAATCCAAACCTCCTTGGGAATACTCTAAACTTAGTAGCCAGAAGAGTTGCACAATGAGAAAATCTGAGGGAGAAAAACCCATCCTCAGCGTTTGGCAGGGGAAAGAAGGAGCGGTGCTGTGAGTGGATGTTCATCCAGCAGAAAAAGAAGTTGCGGAAAGAGGCTTTGTTCCCTTTTTAATCCAATGTCCTCTCTTCTGAGGCAGGAGTGTGAGCATCCTTTTGATCAAAAATAAGAGGAGTGCTCTGTGGCAAGGAAGAAGAAACCCCAGGAAGGAGTCAGAACAGAAGAAATAAGAGGAGGTAGGATGAAGAATATTGGAAGGGTGGGAGGGAAGGAGAGGGGAAAATCAGCCCTTGGTTACAGTAAGCATTTTATTTCTTGTGGCAATCTAGTGGAGAACAAATCTCAATTCACGCCATGATTTGCTTTGTAAAACCCTCAAGGGTGCAAGATAATATTAGAAGGCCATCCCCCTTCTCTCTTCAGATTTGTTCTTCTTTTACGTGGAATTAAATTCTCAATTTCCAAGTTTGTGCTCCACAGTATGTGAGTAGATGTAAACTCTTCTTTGGCACCTGACGCAATTTTAGACTATAGAACATCTGGAGAGGACAACTCCCAGCACAACGCTGAGTAGTGTTCAGTTCCAATTAGACTACACTGAGAGGCTAAAATTGGAAGCATTGATGGAAGATGTAAGCTCCTTTTGTAGCCCAGCAGAACCACAAGCAACGTGATACTTTCCTTGGTTTATGCTGTCGAGAACCACATCTGTTTGTCTGTATTTCACTGTTTCAGCTGAAAGCAGCAGGGAAAGCAGTCCAGTTGCTTTCAAAATCACTTCAGCAAATGGCAGCACTGCTGAGGGTTAGTCACCTGCTCGTGCTTGTCAAGGGCTGGTACAGTAAGGCAGACAAACTGGAAAACCTAGTCTTGCACAGTGGAGTTATGGAGACGAGGCAAATCGATACTTCCTCTCCCTCCCTTTCCTACTTGGCTTGTGCAGATGATGTTATTGTCTTTCCAAGGATTTCCCCTTACTTACTGACGTTTTGAGATTGCTCTTGTAAAAACTATCCCAGCTCTCTCACTGTTACAGTCTTCAGCTTCATACCAGAACTGTTACTGGCATAATTACAGCTGAAACCAGAAGGAAATGAGCTGGCTCTATGCTTGCTACAGAGACAGAGGTCCTCACACAGAAACAGAAGCTATGAAAAGGCAAAGCTCTGCCGGGGAGCATGAGGTTATTGAATTGCAAGAAGTTAATGGGGAGGAAAGTACAGCTGATCATAAGAAGCCTCTAAATTCTTCAGAACCTGCAACGAGCAAGGTAGGAATTTCAGTTGCTCATCTGATGCTTGTGGAGCTCCCGGGGAAATACCACACAATGACAGAAGTGGCATTTTACAGAAACTTTATGTAGGGGTTGTTTAATTTGTTTGAGGGGTGGGGAAAGGTTTCTGGCTTGAAAACAAAGACTGAAAGCGAGTAAAGTGTATTTATTTTATTTTACACGATGAAACATTCTAGTTTTGAAGTCAGATATTAGCATTATTATTTTTTGATGCTGTCTGTGAGCTTTATCTTAGGAAATAAAAGTCGTAGTTGTACTTGGTATTCTAAGTTTTGCTTTCTGTTTTCATGTACTGCCAGTGGGATTGGGCTCAAAACTAGAAGGGAGAAATGTTGAAACACACTAAAAACAGAGTTTCTGAAGGAACAAATTAATCTGAAAACGGTGCTGCCAAAGAAAGAATAAGAATGTCCTGCAGTAAAGTTTGTAAATCATGCTGAATTCTTCCTCTTTGATCTTGGAGCAATTTGTGGTTGCATTTGGGTATTTATACAAGAGCGCCCCAAAGCCTCAATTAAGAGTAGTGCGTGAGTCCTGGGGTAGCCAGTGCCCAGCATTTAGCTTCAAGCTATGGGACAGACTAACGCTGCCAGGCGAGCAGTATTTACTCATGAGTAGCTGTGATATAAAATTCTCATTACTTACTTAAGAGCAGAGGGAAAATCTGTGGCAGAAATTCCACATTTCTGCGTGGGCAGATCTTTTGGGATGGCTGAATCCACCTGAGATCTTGGCAGCATTAGTCATCCTGTCTCTTCCTTCATGCTCCTGGCCAAGTTTCCTTGTGTGAAAACCATTCATCGTTTTAGTGTTGATCTGTGCCATTAAATAAACAGCCTGATTTCCTGTACCATATAGGGGGCCATCTCCTTCTCCTCTGGTCTGGTGAGCTGAACCAACCTGCTATAGGATCAGGCAACTTCTGCGGAGATTCAAAGAGAAATAGGAGAAAGGGTGGAGGAGAGAGGCTCAGCTTCCTTGAGAAACTGCCTTGAGTTTCTTTTCAGCCTTCCCCTTCCCAGAAATGTGTTTTTATCTGGGCTCTTTCTGTTGATTCTGGAATTTGATTTCCTATCCCATGAAGAATATTGGAAAATTATTATGCTCTGCTTCCTGTTCAGGCAGCAGATTAATCAGAACGGCCCTGTCCATTTGGGAGAGATTTTTTTTTGTTGTTGCTTCTTCCTGGAGGTCTTGTGACGTTTATAGGCAGTGTCCAAGAGGGTGCTGGCCCAACTGATGAAACACCGTTGCAGAGCTGAATGTCTACTTGACATCAATGCAGTTTACAGAGCTTGATTAGCAATTAATCTTTTGTGATGGCCTGAATATGTGACTTGTATTCTAGGTGGGAGTTTGGGCTTGATAACAGTCTTGACTGATGATACAAAGCTGATGTCATCAGTGTAATGCTAGATAGTAGTTACCAATTTGTTTTTTCAGATAAAAAAGTTACATACTAATACTAGTGTCAGGTATTAAACTGAAGGTTGTCTCTTCTAATACATTTTTTTTTTTTAATGAAAAAGAATCCCCATGTATATACATGACCACTTGAATGTGTGCTGTAAGAGAAACTATATTAAGCCAGTTGCTCTTCATCCCCCACAGAAACGAAGTTCTCCATGGGGGTGTCTATAGAGGACACTTTGTCTACCCCAGTTCCTGGAGAGCTCAGATGAGCTCTTTCTGGAGATGTTCGCTCTCTCCCCCTGTGCAACTGCTGTTCCAATGAAGTTTTAAGCCAGCTGGTGGATGCCAGTTCAATTCATTAAAAAGTTTTCCATTGTGCTAGGTTCTTAGAAAGTTCAGAAGGTGAAGGAAAGGAAACTAGATTAATGCTGCCAGCTAGCAGCTGGTTCCTGCCAATCTACCTATGTGTATCTCGGACAACCCATAACGTTTGCTTTGCCTCATATTTGGTGCCAAAGACAAAAAGACATGGAGTTCATAGGTTTACAGTAGATGGGAGGAGGATAAATTAAAAGGAAAATATCCATTCATGCTCTTCATTCCATTTTCTGTCTGTGGAACAAATTAGTTGGCGTTATTTGTTTTATTATGTCACCTAAACTTGTTTTTTAATGTTAGTATAGCTGGGTTAGCTAATAACTTTGCTCTTAAATCTTAGTAAAAGTTAGATGAAATGTATGTATTGTCTTTTCACTCCTACATGAACATGCATGCAAACACAATTTGTTTGAGGGTAATTTCCTTGTCATCCAGAACAAGTGAGATTTGTAATAATCTTTAAGTCTACTCAGTAGCCTCCCAGTACTCAATCTTCTGAAGAAAAAGGGAGTCAGCTTTAAAAGTCTTAATTACTCTAGTGTTTTTTTAAAGCAATAATACCTAATGAATAGTATCTCACTTGCTTTGAGTGCTGGCATCCAGGAACTATGCAGGCTAACAGCATCAACATCACAGGGGTGAATTATTTTGCAAGTTCCTCCAGACACGTTTTTAGCTGGGAGACATGGCACGCTTTAAAAGAACAGTCTGTGGGACATGCACATCAAAATGAAGTAATTGACAAAAATCAGAAGCAGTGAAAGAACCTTGGTAGCACCTCAGCTTTCTGAGCATTTCAAAAGTTGGAAACTGAACAAATGGGGAGCACTACATCTCTCAGGTAGTAGCCTGCAGGTCTATCTTCTGTCTTGCACCAGTGCTTCAGGATGGGAACCCTCGATACAGAAAATTACTTACAACAAGACTCATTTATGTTGGGCTTTTTTTTGAGTGTGTTTCTATATGTGACCGTAGAGACATGCTTAAATATTCTTCCCACCTCATTTCATTAATCAAAATTCCCTCTCCTTTTGTAACTAGGGGAGAGATCAGTGGAAATCATGCAGGAAGATAATTTTCTGGAAGTGTAAACTATGGATGGTTTTAACTACAATTTTTGTTGTTTTGTTCCTGGTCATTCTCATCAGTCTAGCTCTATATTCTAGTAAGTACTCTTGGCTTGTTCTCTAATAAAAATGATCAATATGTACAATCTAATAAAAATACTAATTGAACAGCAGCATCCAAAGTCCTGCTGAAAACTGCATAGGAGACTTGGGTGCCAATTGCGGAAGGTAGTGCGCTGAATAGAATAGGTGGTGAAGGCTTTTAATTGAGCAAGAAACCAGTAACTTGCATCCTGATGGGATGGCAGCTCTTGCATCTAAATGAGAGAGTATTACTAGAGCAGAGTGAGAGCTAGGGTAGAAATGATGCTTGTAACACCGCTGCAAGGGCAATGGATCATTCACCTCTCCTCATGTGATGTCTGTCAGGTTCCCAGAGCAGATGGTTGTCATTGATGGGGTGGGTCACTGTTCTCTGGGTGCTGTCACATTTCTTTAGGTGACTCACGCTTTCTTTCTGTCACTCCAACACAGTCATTACCTAGCAAGTTTGTGTGAAAGCCACCTTGGAGAAAACCAGGAGCTTGTTGCTTTTTCCTCAATAATTCTGCTAACTGGAACTTTTCCTACCCTTTCTATCTCCTTTTGGATACTAGATGTTTACACAGATGAAGATGATTATTGGTATACAGATGCACTGCTACAGAACTATCACAATTTTTCTGGAAAGTTCAACTTACTGTGTGGTCTTCCACACCTTTTCTCTGAAGACATTACTAAGAGGGTACGTGCTTCTTGGCAAAGCAAATTCTCCTTATGTAGGTTCAGTGTTTTTCCTTTTAAGTATTTTCTGTTTCTCTGTGTAGCAACTCAGCCGCTTATAAGTCCACATAACTTGTTAAATTCTGAACTGTATTTTTGTAAAAAAAAAAAAAAAAAAAAAAAAAAAAAAAAAAACTGGCTGCTTTTAAGCACATAAACAATTGCATTTGCCAGGGAAGAGGAAAAAAAGAAAAAAAAAGGCTGTTTTTTACAATTTTTTTTTTTTTACTTCTTATTTGAGTAATAATTGAGACATGATCTTCACTTTTTCATTGAACCACTGAATAGCTTAGATAAGGAGAGGCCTGTAGAGGTCTTCTAGCCCAGTGTCAGATCTGCATTACATTCTCCTGAAGTGCATAATGTCAGTCTGGATTTATATCTGCCATTTACACTGAGCTGTTGCTGACTGTGCAGTGGCTGAAGTGAGGCATGGCCATACTGGTTTAGATGTACTGTGGAATGGGAGTCTCAGCTGGGACACCTTTCCCTCTGCCAAGTCAGAATAGAAGGGCTTTTTGCCACTAATAAGAACCTAAGCCAAACAACATAAATTGCTCTGGCAACAAGAGCACATACTTTTAGTTCACCATGAATGCCTTCCTTTGTGCTAAGGTAATACAATAATCACTCAAACACACAGATTAACTTGTCTGTCAAGCTTAAATGGAATGTGTACCATTTCCAAGGCAGTTATTTGCAGATATTTGACCTTCAGCACCTGTGTTTATGGCCCTTAAAACACCTTTATAAGAATGATTCATTGTACTGTCTTTTGTGGGGAAGGTAGAAATTGAATGGAAGAAATACCTTATTTTTAAATTTATTTATTTTCTTTTTCTCTTTAAGATAACAGATGTCTACAGCTCATCTCCAGCTCTAAGACGCTACTTTAGGTCTGCTAAAGTGGATTATGTCAGGTAAGCAATTTTTATTACCAAAATTATCAGAAATTTATGAACTTTGGGTGAGATGTGTACCTATGTAAATATGCATAACATTTAAATCTGTGAAAAATAGAACGTTCTGGGGAGAGTGATAAATATAGGTAGTGAAAACTTGACAAAGGATCCTCTGTTCTGGTGTAAAAGACAAGTCCTACTAGTAGTATATAATGACAGTAGCATTTTGTTACTGTTGAGTATCTTCTCTGCTGTCTTTGATTCCAAGTGCTGCCATAATTAGCTTATTAAGAAGAAAATGAGCTACTGGAATCTATGACGGTTGGTTACAGATGAAGAGAAGCTCAGCTCATGGTTCCAGAGAAACAGTAGAGGTGGGAAGAAGGGGAAAAGAACTTAGGCTTGCCTTGCAGAGGCAGAAGAAAGCTTCTAACCGGAATACAGAGGAGATCTTACCCTCAGCAGAAACTGACACTGAAGGAACGCTGAGGAGTTCACTGTGTTTTAGACACACATGTTTTAAGCTATGAAGATTCCACAGGAGTGAAACTAAGAAGTTGCAGGAAAAATGAGGCCGGAAGGCTCTGCTGTACTGCGGTCCTCTCATGGAGAAGTAGCAGTGTGGCAAATGCAATTGATCCCAGAGGGCTTCTGAAAATGCAGTGTTGCAAAGTGGATGGGGAAAACAGGAGAACATCATGGGCAGAAGGTTAGCAAAAGCTCCAGATCCTTGAACTGGGCCAAGAAGCAGACCTGAGGGTGCTTTAGGGGATGTGTTCCTATGCACCACCAGACATGGCTCACTGAGTGAGCTTTAGCTTCTTGGCCTTTTGGGCATACATAATGATTTAGATCAAGTACAAATCTGTAGTACTGTGTATGTACTAGCCAATCTGTGTCTCTGCCTCTTTTTCCCTGTGCAATTTCTTTTTTTGGTATTCTAAATTGTTTGAATAAAATGGAGCTGTCTATTTGTACTTAATGGAGTTGGTAGATCACAAATCTCCAGAGAGGGACTGTAGTTAACTTCATCTGTTCCAGAGCTCGGGCTAGAAGCACAGCTGGGTTGTGCCAGACTCTGCTATCAGGAGAGCAAGTTTTTCTGTAGGTGTTTAGCTAAGTTGTGTGCCAGATGTTACAGCAGCTCTTCCCTTATCATTATAAGTTTGTTAGGCACAAATGCCGAAAGCCTCATCCTCACATGTCAAATTGCCCTTTGTGCATTGGAAAACATGCCTCAGGTATGTGCCCAGTTTCTGTTAATGTCAAGAAGTACTTGGAGAAGAGAGGGGAAAAAAAGAAACAGGATGCTTAGGTGGCAAGTTTTATTTCTATTTTTTAAGATGCTTTTCTTTAGAAAAAATCTTAAAGAAGAAATCTGTGCCAACTTTGTGAGAATTCAGCCTCCTCAAGGAAGAAAGGATTCATTGGTGACTCACAGGCATTCATTCTTGGCTTTCTATTTTTCAGTAATGAAAGCTCCACTGTATTTTACCAACTAGAGTTCTTTGTACCGCCGTCAACAGAGGGGTTTATGGAGAATGTAATGAACCCAGACTTTATAAGGAATGTTCTACTTCAAAATATTTATGATGAAGAAGATACTTCTAATCCCGGGGCATCTGAATGTACCAGGTTAAAGCTTGACCCAGCTTCTCTCACATCAACATGTAAGTACTGTACTTTAGAGGGGCTGTTTACAAAGAGCACAATTATTTACTTGAAAAGAGGGAGATCTTTCTGGAAAGATGTTGAGATTTATTAGCTCATGTTTTGCACAACTTTGTTAAGGTAATTGTAAAATACTCTGTTTACAAGAAAGTCTTCTTGTACCTAGCTTATAAACCAGAATTCTTTATTTGGTCCTGTAATGAGAAATTGAGTAGTGATGAAGATGCTTAGCTACAGAATCCAACCAAATTCTTCTGATCCCCTCTTGCATTTAACGCACACAGTTAAAAAGAAAATCTCATCTATGTGTGTACCGTAACAGGGAGCAAAAATAACTCCAGTTGGTTTTCCTTATTTTAAATTTGTATTTAAATGTTTATAAAACAAATTTAAATCCAATTGAAAAGGATTAGCAATTTGGGAGTGAACTTCTGATGAATTAACAGTCAACAATGAAAAGGGAAAGAATTTTTGGGAGAAATTTTCGTATACACAGATATCTTTTAAATGAACCAAATGTTCCAATTTCCAGATTTTCCAGTGAAAAGGCAGTGATTCCAGTGTATTTAGGTCTGTCTTTATTGAAATATCAGTATAAAAATATCATATGAGCTTTGAAGTTCCACTGAAAATAATTCATGGAGCTGTTGTGTTGTGTTTTTCCCTGAATTTATTGAAACATACCTAAGTGCCTTCAGAATAATTCATAATGTGATTATGGCACAAAGCCTCCTAAAGTTCAAGAAATGTTTGGACAATGCTCTCAGACATGTAGCCTAATTTTTAGGTAGTCTTTTGGGGGGAGGGAGGGGAACAGGAGTTGGATTCAGTAATCCTAGTTCCCTCCCAGATTGGAATATTTACGAACCTGGACTAACACATCACAGAACATTATATATAAGTAAGATTTGTGCTTAATTCATGAGATTATCAAGAAAGTAAAGAATGAAGGGACAAGAAATTAACAAGTCATAAATTCTAATCCTAATATTATTTTATTCCTTATGTTGGTAATATTTAAAGAAAAAAAAACATACAAAAAATCCACTGTAATACTATAAAAGGGGCAGGAAAGAATACTCTGAAATATCTAACTAAAATTTAGTGTTAATAATGTGTTGTTTTTTATTTTCAGGAAAATAATGGACAGACTCCTCATCTTCCTTACCTCTTAGAAGAGGTGGTCTTCTACTGTCTATTAGTGATCTCAGGTTAGGGAGTCATTCAACAGGTGGAAACACTTCTAAAGATGTTCTTTGAATGAAAATGTGGTATTGGTATGAGAGTGTCTTACTCCTAACACATTGCTACCTCCTTTATTTTTGTGTGGAATTATAGGTAGATCTTCAATCTTGTGAAACTAACATATTTTGTCTGAATAGGGCTCTGTTGGCTTCCAACCCCTCTGATTTTTCTTTTTTCTTTCTTTTTTTATTATGTTTTTAATGAATATGGATTACTTGAATGATCTGCTAAGGCAAATGACTCATTGCTTCTGCTCTTGGCTTATAAAAAATTATCTGCACAATCTCATCCTTAATGCTTACATCTACCCGTGCTCATGTCTTTTCCTTTTCTTCTCTGCCACCTTCATCTGCCATATCTCCCCAGTGCTCTTTCCTCTCAAAACAATCGAAAACTTACATATACTTTCTATTTTCAAAACTTTTGCACTTCCTTCTTAGGTGAATTAGTACTCACATCATCCCCTTGTTCATCCTATAGTCTTCCCAGAAAAGGTGGTGTCTGATCTGTTTTTCTCTTCTGTAATGCGAAATAGAAATGAAGAAGGAAGAAGCATTGGGAAGACTCTAATGCATCTGAATGCTGCAGCAATCTTTCAAATCTGTCAAATTAGCTGTGTACTTTGCTAATTAGCTACTGGTTCTTGTGAAAAGACATCCATTGGATTCACAGCTCTAAATTCAAAGGAAAATGAGTTTCTGCTCTACTTACACCTCCTGCTCTGGCAGTGATGGGAAAAAACAACAACAACAACAACAACAACAACAACAAAAACAAAGAAAAAAAGAACCATAAGTAAACAGATGCAAAATACTTACTTTAGCAAGACAGTGCCAGTTGTTCTTGATAACAAGAGATCATATGGGACAGACGAATGTCAAGAGGAAGATGCTGAGGCAGATGATGTAGGCCAGTGTAGCGTGAGAGTTACAGCCAGTAACTGACTATAACATGAAAGCTAAAAGTTAAGCATTAACTTCATGAATAATGTGATACTTCACTACCATGTTAGTGAAGTATAACTTTTTTTCACTTACAAACATTTTTAGCCAGTATAAATATTAGTATTGTTGCACAGATAAATTTATTTTAAGGAATTTTTTGTATTGTGAAAAATATCCTAGGGAAAATAGTTTTTCTGTTTTTCCATTGTTACTAGTTTATTTAAAGAGTAAAGTGAAAACTCAACTATGCATTAAATTATTTATTTTTACTCTACAAGTGATCATTTTCTTTCTTTGGCATTCTTTCAGCATTTTGAGTTGAAAAATAGCAATGGGAATTCTGAATGGTGAGAGCAGTATGAAGGGTCTGTCTGCACTCAAATGATTGTTGTAATTTTATCTGAGCTTGGGGGTTGGGGAATGGTGTAGAGCAAATCAGGATGTCACTAAGCTCACATCTATGATTAATTCTGTCCCCATCCCGATTTGTAAAATGTAGCACTGGCTATAAGTACCATAATTTCTCTTTTCTTGCCTCATTTGATGAAATGGTATGATTGTATATTTAGGGCTATTATTTCTATACATGTATCTAAAAAACAACAGCAACAACAAAAAGATATACAGATACACAAATGTTGTGCATTAACATAGTATGCAGCATACAATTAAAAGAGATACTCTTATTCTGGGGAAGGACAAAATTCATAGTTTGCATAGTTTATCCCAAAAGCAGAAGCTTATGGAAATAACAATGGCAAGAAAATAGTTTGCCTTTGAGATGCTGCTTGATATTATTGCTCTTACTGCTTAAGGTGACTGAATGTGCCAACACTTCTTTATCTTGATTCTGTTTCAAAGAACAAAAAAATAACAATCACTTCTTTATGAAGGCACTTCCATGTGCATTAAGAATTAATGAGGAGAAACAAGAAGCTGCAAAGTATTCATTTTTTCCCTGCTGTTCTCTGCTCCAGAATTTTTACCCATGCAATTCACAGGGAAGAATGCAGTGAAGTTGTAGCAAGATGTAGGACTGCTAAGATGATCAGAGAGCTGGAGCACCTCTCCTATGAAGAAAGGTTGAGGGAACTGGGCTTGTTTAGTTTGGAAAGGAGTAGGTTCTGGGGGACCTCATTGTGGCTTTCCAGTACTTGAAGGGAGCATATAAACAGGAGGGGGAACGGCTGTTTATGAGGGTGGATAGTGATAGGACAAGGGGGAATGGTTTTAAACTGAGACAGGAGGTTTAGGCTAGATATTTGGAGGAAGTTTTTCCCACAGAGGGTGTTGACACACTGGACCAGGTTGCCCAAGGAGGTTGTGGATGCCCCATCCCTGGAGGCATTCAAGGCCAGGCTGGATGTGGCTCTGGGCAGCCTGGTCTGCTGGTTGGTGACCCTGCACATAGCAGGGGGGTTGAAACTAGATGATCATTGTGGTCCTTTTCAACCCGGACCATTCTATGATTCCATGATTCAACAGAAAGTATCCAGCTTTACAGCATGTCTCCAGATGTACTTTGAACTCTAATTGAAGGAAATGCCAAAAAAAGACAGTCATAGCTGGTTACCTCTTAGAGATAAATTGATAATACAAAAGAAAATAACCAGTGACATAATAAATACCGTATCCATTAGGATCAGAATAGTGTGAAAACATTTCATCAAGTTAGGTAATTTGGGTACCAAGAAAGATTTTATATCAGCAAAACTGCACAATACTTTTTTTCAAAATGTTTTAATACAAAAACAGAGGAAAAAAAAATACATGCGGAAGCAAGAACATTAGCACATAATCACTTTATGATCTCTGGTTAGCAGATGAATAACCAGTTTCAACCTGGACATGTGTGATCAGAAATGCTTCTTGCAGCAGGTCGATGGGCTGTGAAGAAGTTGTGCTCTGCCACTGCAGGGAGCCAAAACTGAGAGTCCAGTAGAAGAGAGCTGAAAGAGTTATGTACCAGATGCAGCACCAGGGAATCCCTTGCTGAGAGGCATGCAGTTGCTGCCTGTGCAACTTTGGGATCTTCAGTGGTTTCATGGTCTTCCAGGTGGCAGTGGCTTGAAGTGCCTAGATTTTTTATTTGTTTATTTATTGTGTGCAGTTTGTTGCGTTCTTCATTCTATCCAGCTTTGTTAAGACTTCACTCTGTGACAAGTAATATTGCATTAAGGGTTGCTGAGGAGAACAACTAGAGAAATGATGCCTTTATCCAGGTTGTATCCTTGTGTGTATAGTGATATATATGAAGCAGGCCAGAGAAACTCTGGAAGAGCAAGATCACCTAGAACAAAGTTTATTATTTATTTATTTTTTTTTAAAGGAGGTGGTTATTATTATTGAATTTTTGATATTTCTATAATAAATTCTACTACATCCCTTAAAAAAAAGGCACTGTAAAAATCCTGAAAATCTGGAAAAATCATGAAGTTTCAATTGCTTCTAGCAAAAAGCACTCCATTTTCTATAGAGAAACATAAACATTGCTTTGCAATGGTAGCTACTGCTGATTCCTCTTGTTTTAATTGTTAAGTCCTGTATCCACTCCATGCTTCTTTTTGTGATTGCTTTTTCAGATTTGTCTCATTGGGACTGACTGGAAGACATAAGCTTTTATAACATAACAGAGATGCTCTCCAGCTTGTTTGAAGAGTCAGCACAACAGATGGGATTAGGAAGGCTGCGTGCTGCCAGCTTAAATATTCACATAGGAATGCCATCAGAGCAGAAAGGCTTCCTTTCTAATGGATCAGGACATAATCGTATGCATTCTGGTCTTCAGAGTAGGTGGTATATTGCTTGCTCCTAGGTATGTTGACAATTGCGTATTCTGTCTGAGTTTCAGTGTTAGCTGCATAGGATTCAGGTTTGACATTGTAGCTGACAGTAGAATACCACATTCCACTGATATTCATAGAGCCTTTTTTGTCACTGTGTTCCTGAGAGCAGGGAGAGAGAAAGAGAGATGAATTGGCTTCAGCATGGTAATACCCTCTTGCTGAAGAATCTTGCAGCGCTCCTGCAGTAGTGTTAATGCTCGTATGTAATAATGAGAAGGGTTTGCAGACCTGCAGCTATTTCCCTTTTGTGTGGACCACAGCTGCACACAGGAGCATGCAGCAGCACATAACCGCTGCGCAGCTGGATGGTGATGGCCTGACGTGTTCTGAGATTGATACTGCCTGCTGGTGGATTACTTAAGAAAACTTTCATCACACCATGCACATGGGAACACAGCAGCACATATAGGGGTGTCTGAATCATACTCTGCCCTGGCTGCACCCAGGGACTGGGACTATGAGTTAGCTGGCCCGTGTGCTTGGCTGCTGGTGCCTGGAGAGGTCCAAGTGCCAGCCACCAGCACAAGCTGGGCTCAGGAGTAGCACTTAAAGTGAGCATGGACATGTGGCTCCTGGAAGGGGCCCAAGTATTGCTGGGGATGCAAGCACAGCTGCCCTCTGCCTGGTGGTCCTCTTCTAGCATGTTCCTTGGATCCAGAGAGAGAGGGAATTATTCATTAACGAGTGAGAAGGTAACATTGCATGAGTAGCTGCCTTCCCAAACCTGTTGAAACTTGCCCACTCTTTAACTCCTATGCATGCCTCCTAATGTTTTTTGGGTGACTGCTCATCCAGGTAGGCAGAAGGATGACTCATTAAATCCAAAAGAACGCAGTGAACTGGATCCAGAAGTTAAAAATTTACTTGCCCTGATGCATGATTTGAATTCACAGAGTAATAAAGCTAGCTAGCTGTAAATACAGCTTTTCTGGTGGCATTCACTGCTGTCTGGTACATTAGCAGTATGTTTAAGTGAATTTTGCTGTGATCATGCTGACATTTGTAGCAGAGCTACTTTTGTGTTCTATAAGTGGAACAAAGGTATCTGTTGCATGAGTTATTAAACCCAAGCGATTATCTTTTGTTTTTCAAATCTAGGTTTGAGAAATTGTCATTGGAATCACAGAATCGTAGAATTGCTCAGGTTGGAAAAGACCTTTAAGGATCACCAAGTCCAACCACAACCTAACCGTATTACCCTAACAACCCTCTGCTAAATCACATCCCTGAGCACCACATCCAAACAGTTTTTAAACACATCCGGGGATGGTGACTCAACTACCTCCCTGGGGAGCCTATTCCAGTGCTTAACAACCCTTTCTGTAAAGAAGTTTTTCCCGATATCCAACCTAAATTTACCCTGGCACAACTTGAGGCCATTTCTCCTCATCCTGTCACCAATGAGAAGAGACCAACCCTGCTCTTGCTGTAAGCACCTTTCATGTATTTGAAGACAACAATAAGGACTCCCCTCAGCCTCCTTTTCTCCAGACTAAACGGCCTTTCTTCAGTTGCTCCTTTCTTCAGTAGGGCACACTGGAACACAAATCCTGAGGAATCTGTCAGATATTCTCAGCTGTAACAATCATCTTGTCTATTTGGGTTCTGCTTGGTATGAAGATCTCACAACATGAGGGAAACAGCACTTTGAAAACAATTCCTGAGTTTTGAATTGAGGTTTTGCACAATTTTTTGAGACTTAAAGATGACAGAAATTTTAAAGAGTGAAGTGATAAGGGAGGACAAGCTTAAGAAAAGGAATTCCCTATCTTTCTGCAAAGGCCAGGCTGTCCCTTTCCCTAGCCACTGTTAGAAAGAACTGGAAGGACAGCAGCATTTCTCTTAATATACCTGAAAATAAGAACAGTTAGGCAGTTTATTTTCATAACTAACTGGCTCTAAATCCACCAAGTGAAGTCTGGAGTGGTTCTTGTTCCTTCCAACACACAGGTCTACCCAAAACTTAATTGCAGCCACACATTCCAGTGTGCTTGCAACCTACAAGTTTTGCAAAGCTGTTGTCATCGACTTTCTCTTATCAGTGGGGGGAATTAAGTGTGGAGGTGGAGTGATTTGTCCCACACATTCGCAGCACATGAGGAGTGTGTATGAAGACTCCTGGCACTTTGGTTGAGCCTTTCATTAGCCATAGACTGAGCTTAATACTTGGAAAGGACTATCTTTGTATTGTAGTAAAGACTCTCCCAATACTGTCTTCACATCTTGCTCTGTGGATCGTACTTGGGACCAAAAAGTCTCAAGACAGCTACTTGGCAGGTTCCCCATTAGAGTTCCACCCGCTCCTTTTTTCTTCCCCCTCATCTCACCCCACACCCACACAAACAATGAGCTCATTTAATCACACCCTTTTCTGTCATCTTGCCCACCTTCTTAAAATTTTCTGTTAAACACCCACATATCTACAGCC